TAGCCATACTCTTATAGATGCGATTTGTTCATCTGTAAGATCTGTATGCATCTTTCTCATTATACCTGAAAAAATAACATTTTTTTTCATTATATCTTCTCATTATTTCATAATAGAACAAATCTGTAACTTTTATTATATCACAATTTATTGCTTTATTTATAATACGAAAGATAAATTAAAAAATATTAATAATTAAGTAAATAATACATATTTTTAAGTGCCTTAAATAACAAGCCCGGATCTACAATAGGTGTCTACAATAAGTCTTAAGCCGTAAAAACTGACCAATTACAATTGAATGCGAGGAGAATAATCGATTATGATTCGTCCATTTCTTATGACTTAATGCTTAAAAATCTATTGTAGATCCGGAGTTAGTGAGATATATCCTATTAGCATACATCCCAATAATATACATCTACTGAAATCGGCTAGTACCTAGTAATTTTTCAAACAATTACAATACAAAAAATCATCAAAAATAAATTAGATATTAAGTTAAATTTTAAAAGTTAATAACTTTCTAACTATATTATTTAATATTTAGCTTTATAAATAGTTACTACCCAACCCTAAAAAAATTATACACATGGAAAATTATACACATAAAAATCAATATAAGAAAATATAAATACAAAAGAACAATTATATAATCAAATCAGACATTTGTTTAGAATCACATTAGTGAAAAAATATTAAATAAAGCCAATAAGATATTATATAATTTCAAAAGAATACAAAAAAAAAGATTAAGAAAAAGTAAGATATTCTAGATTGATTTAAATTGGTACTATGAGGTTTTAGATTGTAAAAATACTTGGAACCTTCCTTTATCAATCGCTATAAGGTAGAAGTTCGCTTGCATTCTGTATTTCAAACAGATTAAAATTCAAACAATTGAAATTTTAGGTGTAGTTTTCATAATTGTAATTGAGAATTAAGAATGTATAGATATTTACATCTCAGTGTAATGAAATAAGTAAACTTTTGGTAGTCAACTAATAAAATATATCAAAATTGCCTGTAAGATTTAAAATTAAATGAAAACTGATGTATTAAACTAAATAATTATACAATTATTAAATTCTGTGTCTTAAAAAAACGGGGAAAAATATTATAACACGAATGAAATAATTACAAATGTGAAATACTTAATTTACTGTTTAATTGTTGGACAGGTCGTTAGAACAGATTCTCTAAAGGGCCGTCGAGGCAGGCTGCCTTCAAAGCCCAAGTCACCGCAAGAATCCCCACCGAGTCCGCCGGTCTCTTTGATTACCGCTCTGGTTCGCGCCCATCTTGACACAACGCCGGACAAGGCAAGCTTGGATTACTCACAGTACCGACAACCTAGACCGGGTGATCCACCAATAACCGAAGCCGAGAAGATTCAACAGTTCTACAACTTACTGACAACCTCAATCGATGTTATCCGAAATTTCGCCGACAAAATCCCCGGATTCACGGATCTAGTGCGGGAAGATCAGGTGAGCGATCATTGATCACGCATATAGGAACGATCAATAAGATAATATATTAGCTCCCATAATGACAAAAATACGAGGAGTAGTATCTCCAAGATTACATAATTTTTTTACACAAAAGTCTTGAAGTTCGAATTTGTGAGAATTGTTCTTTTTTTCTCATTTCTACTAATTTTTTTTTCGTCTTGAAAGATCGAGAGATATACGCTTTTATTATATCACTGGTCAGATATCGATTCTCGGACGATATCCATTGGAAACTAACGGTTATAGAGATCGATAGCTTATACATTTTCTAAAAGGTCAGTCTTGACGAGCTTTTGACGCGGTCGGTTGCTTGGCTGACTAGCAGACTGCTCGGTAGAACGATAGACGGTAATTTGTTAATATATCTATGCTGTAATCAGAAGAGATTTTGTTGTTTAAGATTTGTCATCACATCTCAATAAAATTATGTTATTCTTTTGCAAATGAAAGATGTTTAATATCGCGAATAATAAAATATCTTTAGAACACCTTTCGGTTATCTCGATAGTTTACGTGTTTTTGAAAATTCATTCATGTATTAATAATTTCACAACGTAATCTGCTTTCAGGAACTACTTTTCCAATCGGCCAGTCTAGAACTGTTTGTGCTCAGGCTGGCATACCGCACGCACCCGGACGACACGAAGCTGGTCTTCTGCAACGGCGTTGTCCTCGCGTTGGAGCAGTGTCAGCGTAGCTTCGGCGATTGGCTGCACAGCATTCTTGACTTCTGCAAAGCCCTCCATTTCCTGGAGGTCGATATCAGCGCCTTTGCCTGTCTGTGCGCTCTCACCCTGGTTACTGGTTAGTACTAGATTATGATTCTCTTGATTTCATGGTCGAATGAATTGCCACAGTTGCGCTTCTACTACCATAAATATTAATTATTTTACGATCGAGCTCTATAGTTGTCACACTGCGGTTCTGTTGATTATTTCTTTAACGGCATCTTCAATCTTCTTTTATCTAGTTCGCTTTACCCGTATTCTGGTTATATCGGCCGGTCTAAATAATTAATCCGTCGGATCATTTAATTATTGACGCTCCGACGAAAGGAACGACGATGTTCCTCGTTCCGCACGCGATCCGTTAGCAACCAGACATGCAGGTGTGCGGTTTACAAGCGCGTCCAATCAGAGTTTCCGTGTTTAGATAGCTACGTGTCGAAGGTCGAGTGACTGATATTATTGGAGTTTAATTGATTTATCAATGTTTCTTAATCTTGAATGTTAGTAGTAATTAAATCAACCGTAACACATCATTAATATTGGAACATTTTAAGGACACAAGATTTTTATTATCTAAATTCTCGCGATTTAATTTTCGAAAACAATGCGAAATTTAAGTTAATTCTATAGCGATGATTTAATATTAAAATTTCCGGTATTATTTACGGAATGTTATTGTTTAATAGAATTTGATGGCAATTCATAGATTCCGTTCATTTTATACTATTTTGAGAAAACAACGGTCTCATACAAGATGACTTGCGTGCTTTCAGAGAGGTACGGATTGAAGGAACCGCAGCGTATGGAACAGCTGCAGATGAAAATTGTCTCGTCCTTGCGCGACCACGTGACCTATAATGCCGAGGCGCAGAGGAAGTCGCAGTACCTGTCGTACCTATTGGGGAAGATACCGGAGCTGAGGAGTCTCTCGGTCCAAGGCCTCCAGCGGATCTTCTACCTCAAGCTGGAAGACCTGGTGCCGGCGCCACCCCTGATCGAGACGATGTTTGTCGGTAGTCTGCCCTTCTAAACCGAGCAGCCTCGCCAGCACATAGAGCAATTATTTTCTCAGACCCATGCGGTTGCGTTATCTTCGTTCTGATTGCATCCTTCTTAGTTCGTATTACACATAGCTTTATTCTCTTCTTGCGTAAAACCTCGCGCGATCCCGCGGGTACGTTCGGTTCTCGATGACGTCTTGATGACGTCCTCTCGCGCTCTGCAAAGGATAATCCTGGAATAGGGCTCGTCGAGCGGAAAGAGCCATTACTGGTCGTACGAGCGAGCGCGGACGAAAGCTGTCCGTGCGAACGCAGACGCTAAACTTAAGGGAAAGATTATTGTACGTATGTATGAACGAATGAATATGCGTATGTGTGAGTGTGTAAACGGATGTATGCATCACGTGCGAACGTAAGTGTACAGAGTGTCTTGTAGGTCTCTGCATGCACGACGTGTCGAGTGGCGGGTGGCGGGTCACACATCGCCGTTATACTATTAGTAGTATAAGTGCACTACTATAGTCGCTGTTGTGCTGCTGCTGCTGCTGGAGAGCGAATCGGCGCGAGATGACAGAACACTGGCGGATAAAGTAAGCGAGGCGGGCCGTGGCGATTTCGCTATTCTCCCTTCTAGCTGTAGTAGATTTCGTGCGAACTTGGATGGACAGGGAGAGATACCTCTTTCTCTCTTTCTCGCAGGAAGGCTCTTCGCGCGAATTTTTCTCACTTTTCTACCTAGTTTGTACGAGGCTCTCCGTGCTCTCGCGCTCGGCTCGCCTCGTCGCTCCCACGGCCAACGCGCGCAGCCCGCCACTTCTTCGACACGTGTAGTATCTTTGGCAATACCTTGCCCGTCGCGGGGGAACGCATCGGCGATTCGCAACATATCAGAGTAACGACGGGGAGGGCGGACAACGCCCGTCCGTCTTAATAGTAGATATAGGACGTGACTGTCGGTCGCGCTCTCGATGGCCGGACGATGCCGAGTGTAGATGCATCGATTACTTGTTCGTACCCATGTCAAGAATCGATGCAATTCTATGTTACATCAAGTTAAGTATATTCTTTTATTTGTTCATCGTTATTTTATATTGTGGACATATCTGTCCCTGATGGCGTGCGCTTTGCAGTCTCGAGGCAAATATGATTGAGCGCAATGAAGAATATCGAATAAGAAACTCGATGGTGGAAATTGAGATATAAGCAAAAGCTGTGAGTTCACGTGCATTTAAAAAACTGCAGCGGGTTGCAATATGCGTCCCTCGGGTATCTATGCTAATGGAAAATGAGTTTAGGCGTGGCGCTATTATTTTATGAGTTTATGGTAAATTGTAGAAAAGTTGATAATTACTGGACTAGATACATCTCAATCATAGTATTTTTATATACACTTTTTACACGTTTTAGATATGCGCATCATTTTTAATAACATTATTAAAAATTCAGTAAGTACTTCAGATATCCGTTATCTTAAACCGTAAATGTTTACCAGACATTTTTGCGAGTATTTTACAAGTAGATACACCTAAAAACTAATTTAAAATAGCCTCATTAAAAGTAGTTGATCAGAAGTCGTCAAGTAGAAAGAGTTAGCATATTTTTTTTATTTTAATGGTATATTTTGATATCAAGAATGGAGTAGCGTGTATAAATGGATTTCAACTTCGCAGCGCAGTTTACATATTTTCACCATGAGATTTTCGCAGATTCCATGCAGTGATTACCGCGATTCGTAGAGTTCTTTTTTTCTCTCCCGTAACGCACTCGCAAACAAGCTCGGCATTGTCAATGCTGTTCGAGCGCCGTCCGAAGCGCATGGTCGATATCAGTCGACTCTTTACCACTATTCTTGCGTTTATGTGATTTTAGAGAGCTAAGGCGAGCAACCACGGGTTCGCCTCGTTTGGAAAAGCGAGAGAAATTTTAAATTTAGCACGAGACAGCGAGGCGGGCCCGGCTTAAAGTTACCTATTACGTTATGACATTTACTTTTTTAATCAAACTAACGTAGAGTGTCCTATTTATATACGTATAACGCGCCGCTACTACTACTTAACTACTACAACTACTACTTTACTATACCGTTATACTTACTACTACTCATTGATAGCGTTACTATTCTATGGCGTTACTACCACTACTACCACTGTTACCAGCGCTACCTTTACTACCACCTTGTGTTACCATTGTCTCGCTACAGTAAGCTTCGCCGTCGTTGTCGTCGTCGTCGTCGTTAAAATGCCCCTTAACGCACCAGTATCCTACGATCGACGCGATAGACGGCAGAGGATGCTGATCGAGGCTTTCAAACCGGCGTCTTCGCCGCCAGGATTACCGCAGTCGACATGCATCTCTGTTTTTTGATGTATATCTTAATATTTTATCCACGTTCAAGTACCGTAAGATAAAGTAAGATTGCATATAGGGAATAACTTCGCATTGGAGTGAAAAGAGATTTCACGATTATTTTTCACCTATAATGTTGAATATATTTAAATATATTTAAATATGAAACTTTTACAGTACTTCTCTCTTTATTCAACTTCGCCTTTTATCTTAATGAAAACGTTATATATTATTAAAAAAAATTTTATTTTATTATTGTTATTATTAAAGTTACATTTTTTTGTATTTTTTGTATCTTTTGTAGTTTTTAAGATTTCTATTTATAATTTTAGTCTTTTTTTATTTTATTTATACTGAGAGAGATAATATTCACGGTAGTAAGCTTTAGCATCAACCGCTACGGTTGCTTTAGTTAATTATCTTCTTAGATTACGTTAGATAATCCTGAGATCTATTTTTGTTCAGGCGTAGTAACCATTGCCTGTGTAATCTTACGATAACCACCGTCGCAACGCGATCCAAGCTTCTTAACACAACAGATCAGACATTGCCCTTACAAATATACATATACATATACACACACACACACACACATATATATATACATAAACAAAGATCACATTAATTACCTGTACGTGCACAATAGATATGATAATTACATGTGTATATGTTAATATAAAGTCGTGTGTATCCGCAAATGTTCGACGCTTCGCAGACATGGCGGAATCAATACCTGGATCGAATTCGTCTTTTACTAGCTATCTATGATTGTGGTTCCTCGTATTAATGTCTTTTGTATTCTGTTTAGCGATATCGTTCGCGTGATGTTCTCGATTCGCGATCTCGTACACGATGCAGTGCACGGAAGAAGTAATAATAAGAAGTAATCAAATACACTCGCGTTCAATTTCCGTCGCTGGAAACGGACATTTTACCTTTATTCAATCGTTCTGAGAGCTTTTGCTAGTACTTCGGAAGTGTTTTCTCAATTCTTGTTGCTAATTAAAATTTAATGCTTTGCGGCCTGAAAAATTTACTCTCTAAAATTCATGGAGTGAATATCACTCTGCAGAGTGAAATTTCATTCCTAAAAATTGAAAATCGAGCTATTTTTTTCTCAAGACTGACTCAATTTTAATTCTTTACAAATTCCACTCGAAAGACTTTAGAGAGACACGGATAATTTTGTGTCAAGCTAATTAGATAAAAAATAATTAGAGAGATAATTGTGTCAAGATAATTAGATTAAAAATTAATCTGGAAATCAAAGAAAACTATTTTTTTTTTAAATATGCCATCTACTCTCCAAAAACGTGATCACATGTACAATGAGATAATATTAGCTATGACCAATAATATTTAATTGCCGATTGCAAATCCATAAAATAATTTTGGCCGTAAAGGATTAATTAATAGTAATTGTACTGTGCTACTTGTGAATAAATATTATAAAGGAACGGTTTCTTGTAAAAATTCAAGGCTCGCCATGACGATCATTTAACATATTTGTGATGAGAAATTGAAAATCTGGTTTTTAAATGAAAATGTTAAATATTTAACTGTTTACAGTAACATATTTGTGATAATATATTGGAGAATAATATTCAAATTTTATATAAATTACGAGATATAATAATTATATATTTATCATACATGGCGAACTCAATGGACACCGTTGCTATACTGGCCGATATAGGCACAAAATAATCTTATATCGCATATATATGTGTCACGCGTTTGTTAATCACTAGCGATGACGTTTGAAATAATCAATCTTTATGCTCTATAATTACTCTTTTTACAAAGGAACAAATTCCGTTTCCAGTGGGCGCAAAATTCGGTATTGACGCAAAAAAATGCGCAATAGATGACATATCAAGTTCTTCCCTTCAAAAAATTGCCATGTTTGCAAAAATGTTTCTCCGTGTACCAAATAATTCATTACAATATAATTAATTTACACGTCCACGTTTGCGGATGGATACGCGCGCAAGTGTTCAAAAGACAAAATGCCCGGTAAGAATGCAAGGTAAACAGGATCCGAGGGTATAAAGGTTTGTGCGACCCTTGCGATCGAAATTAAGATAACGCATGCGAGAGCGTCGATTCTGCTTCTGTTCGAAAAGCATAAATTTTCGAAGGGCTTGTTCTCGTTGGAGAAAACTAATTTGCGCCACGAAATCGATAGCAATAAGATAAGGAAGTTCTTTACGATACTAGACTGATGCCAATGTTCTGTCAGAAGATATTTGTAAAGAAAATAAGATATTTATGAGCTATCGATTGAAGAGTTTTAGAGATACAAAATCTTGCCTTTTTAGAATTTCTAAAAGTGATTTTTGAGAACCCTCTTTAGCGTTGAGAGATCGTAACAAATATTTCTAGGCATACAGAAACATTATTAATCGTTGAGCTTTGAAATATTTACAAAATAATGTCTCAGTAAATGTAAATGTTTTCTTCCGTCCGTTGTGAAGATAAGTACTTAATAATGAGATAGTTGGACGAATTGAGTGAAAATCCCAGGAGATAACTAGAAAAAATAACTAGAAAAAAAAAAGAAAAAATAATTTTATATTAATGAAGATAAAATCGGGTAACGCATTGGCATCGATCTGCAGCAATATAATTAAAATGAAAATCATTTTTCATATTTGTAAAAAACGTCTTGGCGCAATTAAAACTCTCGAGGACGAGCGCTTCTTGCCTGATATTCTCGCCTTATCTTCTCTTCATAT